CGGCGGGCAAAACTGATGTTAATTCTCTGAAATGTCCCACTTAGCCCAAAAACAACAAGCGGACTGAATCGGCGGTCACTTCAGTAACACCGTAATGATTTCTATTAGTACGGCGTGCTGTGATGTCACATCCTCCCTGGCTGTGCCTCCGACTGTAAACTGCCCACTACCATCATCTGTAAGATGACCAGAGAGCGCAGCTCAACAAGGAGCTCTGTGTGAGGGACCATGAAGCCAGACACTCAAAGACATTGGCAGACTTTGCTGCGCTCAGCCCAAATGTACAACACGCTCCCCTCAAACGTGGGCTTGTTTAGCTGCTGGCACCTGAAGGCATCAGTCAGATGTATGCCAGCTGAGCTGAAATGTGCCCACAGAGTACACACTGCAGCACCACTACCAGCACTCGTGCCCTCACCTTGTCTACCTTGGCACTTTTCGAGTTTGATGGAAAAAATGTCCCATTGCAAGCGACAAGTCAAGTGCCAGACAGCATATTTATACATCTTAATTAGCAATAATGAAGCCCAGTACCTGCCAACGATCTGATGCCAGTGGTTACTGTGTTGTGTTGACTAGAGCGTGTGTCGGTTGTTTGCCTTCTACTTACGTGAGTATTGCACAAATAAAATAGGTGAAGGGATCCTGTGTTTTGCTAAAACCATTAGATCCGATAACAAACATGTAATGAAGATGAATCTTTAAATCTTGATAACGCAGGAAACACTTGAGGATGACAATGTTTAGTCTGAATGAGCCTGTCGCATAACTTAATGATAACTAAGCTTCTACCTGGAGAAAGGCAAACCCTGCAGGCTGCAGCATGCCTCAGATTTACAGAAGTTTTTGAATGAGCAACAGATCATTATTATTAGTTGCTCTCACAGTTTGTCATTTAACAGATCATTCATTTTAAAAGACCTGTCAGGACACGGTGAAGGACTACAGCAGACTCATGATGTTTTGTTGCACGTCCCTATGATTTGAGGCCGTGTTTGGATGCAAACATGTTTAGATCTGTCCTCGGCGATAAGGTTTGAGCCCTGCATAGCGAGACAGTCTTTATGGAGGTAATGGAAACAAGTTGCATGGATCTTTTACCGTGAAATAGGCTACAGCCATCCTCCTGACGTCTGGATTTATGGCCTGGTAATTCCCCTCTGGAGTAATTTGGCTGGTACATCTGCAGCTTAGCAGCATTCCAGCAGAGCTCTCCTGTGCTGTGAAGTCAGGAGATGACTGATTGATTGATTGTATTACTCTAGTTTTAACATGGCTTTGCTGAGCTATAGCAGTGAAGTTCTAATGTGATCTATCCACTGCAACCTACAACTGCGCTTTGACGTAAGCGGTGAGCGGCCTGGCTGCTGCTGGGTTATCCTGCTGCGATGATCACAAACTATTAAAATAAAAAAGTGAACATAGCATAATAACCCACAGCAATAACAATAGACATATACGGACTGTTTTGTTTTTTTAGATATGGGAAATTTGAACCTCCTTCATTCACGAAAACAAAATATGTAGGATACATCTAGTTCAAGCCAGAGCCATTATTAATATAGTGTCATGCAATCTTCTGCTTGATCATGATTATATTTAATTCCTCACTGTTGATAATACCAAAATGAGATCATCAATGAGAATTTCTCACTGCTTTCAAATCAGTGATCCCTCGACAAGCGCGTTGTGGTGCTAATTAGAGGCTAAAAATGACAAAATGCAAACCTATGGTCTTGCGACAGCTCATGTTTCCTAGCTTTTAGGTGATAAGTCCCAGGCACGTGCTGCTCAGACAGTGATAATGAGGCCAGTCGCTCACCAGCTTGCTGAGGAAACACTGCGGTCCTATGGGTTCAACCTGTTCCCCAAAACAGCCAAGCCTGCAAAGAGCACAAAACATGGAGGTCTAGAAGAGGGTCTAATGCACAGGGAGAAATATGACTTGAGTATAAGTTAAATTACTGTATGGGATTCATAATATTCTTTATTATTACTCTTTTTGTTGCTCACATTAAAGGCTAAACTGATTACGTTACTAAACTAAAACTATTAAGTGGGTCATTAACCACTGTTTAAGTTAGTTTGTTAGCCCCTTCTGTTTAATACAAAGTTATATTTGCTGTGACCTCCAGCCAATAGAATAACATGAGGCAATGTAGAATAAACATGTATTATGTAATGCTGTTATTTTGTCAATTGTTATCTCGCTTTGTTCATTTTAATTTGTTTTAGTCTTCAAACTTGACAGCAAAATTAGCAAACTAGTCTAGCTAGCAACTTAAAAAAAAAAAAATCTAGCAAAAAAAAAAATAGTGACTCCATTAACCACTATTAACGTTAGTTTCCCCCTTCTTTTAACATGGTTTTGTCCTCTATCCAATAAGGAGACAACAATTCACATTTCACTAATAGTTAGTGTCTGTATTATGACGTAAACGTTACATGACATTATCAATATTTAATGCCATCTAAAACTAAGCCAACATAACTGCAATCAGTTATATTTCATTTGTTTAGCCAATAAACTTGATAGCAGAATTAACTAATTAATGGCTAGCCAGCGAACCAGCAACATCCACGCAAAAACAATATAGCAACCGTAGCTATCAGCTAGCTAATTAGCTTAGCTAATATGTAGACGACAGCTAGCTAGCTTGTTAGCAACATTACAGTAAAGTTACCTTAACATTACCGCCGGATACTGTGCAAAGGTTGATATAGAATTATGTTGTTTTGCAGAACAGCAGTATCAGTATTAATAACTTAGGTGCTTGTACATGTGTTGTATCTCGCTTTTTTGTGTACAGTAGCTAAATTAGCTAGCTAATGTAATGTGCTAGCGTTAGCTAACTGAATCGCTAAATAGGATAACTTGACTTAAGAATAAAATAGTTATGTGACACCATAAATACGCAAAGAAATACTTACAGAAACACCCGAAAGAGAAGTGACAGCAAATTGATACATATTTATGACCACACACTGAGCTGGCAGGTTTGTCACAACACTTACAGTCCTGAGGCCACTTTCTGCTTCATCTCCTTTGTAGTACCATTTCCTTCTTTAGCACAAGAAATACCTTCACATTAGTATTTTATGTTGTCCAATGTTTGACCAAGCTACAATTCAGATGTACATGTTTGACAAAACAGTATTGTTCTGGACTTGGTACTATCTGCAAACACTATACTTAAAGTTTTATAAATAACAACTAATGCATTTCCTTAAGACCAGCTCACTTTTGACTATGTTAATAATGATTCACTGTCTTGTTAACCGTCTTTGAATTATCTGAGCTTTTGATAAAAGCTCTTACTGTGGTTGAAAGAAAATACAAAGCTTTTATTTTCAATGTTAGTGATAACAGGATTTGAGTACACTGGGTCGGGTAAGGATCATAAAACATAATGTCCTTTTATGTACAGGATGAACCCTTTTTATTGACATCCCTTTTGTAGCCATATGGGTTCTAGTCTGTATCCATCAGCCTTGTTTGCAGCTCTATGTTGACAGATTCCCTGTTTTCTCTGGTTGTCATCTGGCTTTGTCCACCTGATACCAGACACGTGGCAGCTATCAGAGGAAGACAATACCATCAATACAATGCACAACGCCGGGATCTGCAGCACGTTTGACACCTGATTTATCTCAAGCACCCATTCAGATGAGTTAACTATCCAACAAAGAGTCCTGCGTCAGATGTGTGGGTGGGGTCTGACTCTCTGGGGAGTTTGAGGGGTTAACCTTGACATCTGGCCTCTGATCTTCGAACAAGTTCAGGCCAGCTGCCCAAATAGGTCTGGTTTTCCCCATAAAAACACCTCATCCATCTGCTGAATTTCTCCTCATATAAGTTTCTTCACGATCGCCTGGGGCACTTCCATTCACAGACGCGTGCGGGGTGACACTGATCCCTGCTGTGACGCCCATCCATATTTAAAGGGGAGTGCAGGTGACCTGTGGGTGGCCCTCTCTGGCACGCTTGGGCTCTCCTGCACCCACAGAACCTTACACAACACATTTGTTGGATATTTGCCTCAAATTACAGCAATATGATATAATGCACAATGAGCTAATGGGCTTTAATCTAGAAGGCACCCAGATGACACGTGCCCCGTACCAAAGCTGGGATCTGTGAAATTCGATCTGGTGATGGACGCGTAAGGATGACAATGAGTGTGCCAATTAGCTTATGAATACAACAGGTGACACCTACATGAAGCCCAATTACACACTCGTTTGTGTTCAGTGTCTCCTGAGGCAGACTATAAGTTAACGCAGGAGGATGAAAAATTGATCATGATGGATGCTGCCAATTATGTCACCAGATATTATTTTAAAATTAACTTTGTGAGCATGGCTGCATGCAAATGTAACCGACACTTAAATTTAGCCTCATTAAAAAAGCAAAGTTGAAACTAATTATCCAATTGGCACAGGTGGTTCCGTCACTATTTCAGTCACCTGCAGCATTCAAAGATTGTTTCACCGAAGGGATTAACGCTGCAAGTAATTTTGTATTTTCCTGGTGTCCGTGGTTACCAACGCTATGCATCTTCCACCTTCAGCTCTAACGGTGGTGCTGTGGCAGCTGCTGCGGTAGTCGTGGTGAATGAGGGGACTCTTCAGGGACTACTAGCTGGAGATGATGGGGGAAGAGGTCATGTTTTAACCTGCTAGGTGGCGGGGATGCAAACGCAGCCACAAAGGCATCAGCCGGTAAACAACACAAGTGTTTCTGGTCCCAAAAGACTTCACGCAGACTTGTTGCACTCGTAGGCAAATTCGAGGAGAGTTTTAACAATCTCTCAGTTGTCAATCGCTGCCACCTCTCTCTTTTGCCAGGAAGGCATGGGAATTTCTCCAGAACAAAAGGAAGAGCTCCTTTAAGCGAGGGGGGGGGGGGGGGGGGAACAAAAGCTTTGACACAAATCAGCACAATCAAAAACACTAATCGTGGCTTAACTGCCAGTGAGATCAGTTAATTGCGAGTGGCTTTTCATTTATGATGGGACAGGTGTTAAAGGAAAGGAACAGCTGAATATCATCAGACTCACACTGCAGAGTTTGATTAACCCGATCTGCTGCGTCTTTAGAGTCTTTTGATCTTATTGCCTGAAAAAAAGTGAAACAAAGCAGTTTTCATTTACAGTGAGTTTATTGAAAAGGACATTGGAATTTGATGAAAATGAGGGTGATGATAATATCGAAAAGGTAATGTTTGAAACTCTAGTACAATGAGAATGTGTAAATCTTAAGAAATGCATCACCCAATCCTCATGAATTAGTGCACCTGTTGGCACTTAATGTACAGTCATTAACAGTATTATACTGTCAATACATAATACAGTACATACATCTTCTAGAGCCAAGTTTGTTTCCAGACCTACAATAATAAAAACCCATACATTCTTGTCCGCACACATTCGGGTATGAAAGTCTTGCATATTGGCTATCGTGGGAAAATAAAACCCACACACAAAAAAAAACCTCCTCTACCTTCTCAGATGATGACATTTTGTTAACCAACCAACACACTGTAGTTAGCTACACCACAATAAGGTAGCGCGATGAGGGTTGATGTACAAGAACCCAATTGAGTGGAACCAACGGCTTCTAGATCAGGAAGATGCCATAATATAATTATGCAATAATATAAAGTGTTACATAATTGAAACCTATGATTGACATGCAGAAGTGACAAGAATCCAAATACACCAATTGACTGTTTTTTTTGTTGTTTTCTTAAATCTTATCACATGACAAGGCGGTGTGCCTCAGTGCACATTGACTGCAGACCAACATGTTCGCATCAAAAATGACATTTCAGGCCTCCACCATGTTGGGGCACTCAACTCAAATGAATTGTCTCTGCGTCTCTGTGCACCCTACTCCGCACAATTCCGTAAACTCAACGGCGCTCTGCTAACTGCCGAGATCTTTTATAAACACAGCCATCATTGCCTTCAAAAACTGTGTGCCACATTACAAGCACCGTCAGGGGATTTAGCGGCAGCTTAAGTCTTAGTGTCTGGCAGCTGTATGTGGCCTATGGCAAGCAGCATCATATTATCAGCAGAAGACTTAAGAGACTGCCAGAGGAGGACTGGGAGATCCGACTTGAGCTTCGTGTCATCTTCATCTGAAGGTTCGACGCATGCTTCGTCAACATGGGGGAAGAAAATCCCCATATGTTTGTATTGGATTGTTTTTTGGGGGTAACGGGACATTCACCTTAAACACTTACAAAACGTACTTAAATGCATGTGCAAAACAATCTGTATTAATTTAAATTACGATACAGGCCATCGCCAAATTTTATAGGACATTTTTGCCTCAGAGCATTTTTGAGTGCTTTGCATATTCAAATACTGGCATTAATTGGATGACAAATATTATGCAAATACGCAAGAAAGAAGTATATAATAATGATGCAGGTTGTTGTTCGTGTTCTTTTTTTGCAATGTACCCTTTTACAATGCCGTGCTAGAAAACCATTTGAAAATGCTTTTCATTCAGATTTGTGTTTTAGTCTGACGTCTTCCAAAGCACCGAATTATGTCAAAGCATAAAGAAAACGTAGCAATCAAGCTGAAAGACATGACAGGCTAAATCAATTCATTTGAACTACATAACCTCAGGGGCCAAATGTGTACATGCATCTGTTGAGACCTTATCGTATCATCGGAGCACTGCGGTGGCGCTTAGGGGCTCAATGTCGACCTGAGTGTAAATCACCTGTTCTATACTCTTGAGTTGTACTCTTTGATGTACAACACCGTCTACACACTAACTGCACCACCATCGTCGCTGTGCTAGCATGGGAAACTAACAGAAGGCATGTTCGTTTGTTCGTTTAGCTCTAATACAAGATGGGTGGTGAATTATTTTTCCTTCCGTTTTACACTTTTTATTCCCACTGTTGACATTTCATTTAGCTCAACTCGCAACTTTGACCCCAGGAAGCACACGTTCAAACACTTTACAGCACAACAACACTGTGCAAAAAGTGAAAAGGGGGTGAAGTGATATCACAAAGTGACTATACATTATGTACATTGGAAGCATTAAGAGCTCGGCGAGGTCCATGAACAAGCGACTAACTACAACCACAGACGAGTTAAAGCGGCTGGTAAAGCTGGTAAAATGAAGAGTTCACACTTCAGCACATGTAGGAAGGCAATCAGTGAGGAGAACAGATTCTTATCCACGTATCGTAATTAGTATCGCACAACACTCTTCATGTTATGAACATATATGCGATCAAAAATTCGTTCTCCAATACAAAGGAAGTTACCCAACGTCTGTCACATCATCGCACAAAACCGCACATACCGACGACAACTTGTTGTTCATAATGAAGATGTCGGCGTTTTGTCAGACTAATAGAGAGAAGGGGACAAAAAAATAAAATAAAATCACTCATCTGAAATGATCTCTTTGGATACACCAAATACTTCAAAGGCAAGCAAGGTTCAATGGCCTCGTCAGTGTTCTGTATATCATTAAACATTGCAGAATTATGTATTTCAAAGCCAACCAGAATACATTCAGTAGTAGAGATTTGGGCGTCAAGTCCCTTCGGATAAAGCGACTACTTTTACAGCAGCAGAAATTAATTTGTACATGTGGTGCAACATTCAGGAAAACCTTCAATCAACGCGTGTTTTGGACCGTTGACAGTCCGTAGATCAGCTGTGATTTGGTATCGTACAGTTTAAAGGTCAGATATTGTAAAAGACTGGATACAAATAGCAGAAACAATACCGGCAAAAGGGACAAAGTGGACCATCGTCTGACAAACAGACCGAGTAAAGGTACTATAATACAAAGTGTGTTTTAACACTGAACATGAAGCTGCTCTCCACTAAAAAGACAAGAATTTAAACCTAAAACACCAGCGAGTGATTCTTCTGCAACAGCCAGCTTAAGCACAGGGGATTCAAAGCGAGGCCTCTCTCTGAGATGGACCTTTAAGTAGTCATTTAGTTCACGTTCGGCGTTTGTTTGGTAGAAACTGATAAATTCACAGAATTAAAAAAGGAGCTCAACATGGAAACAACATATGTTGATTGAGGAGACACGTGCGATGACACGAACACTGTGAAATGAGGACAGTTAGCTTCTGACGCGCGCCGTCAAACTGATACTTGTGACCTCATTGGCTGTTCACCTCGATCAATTACGAGCTGATCATCATTAGTACTCTTTATTTACTTATCTTACTGTATATGAATGTTAGAATTTGGACTGTTTTGACAATATAAAGAATGCAAAAACAGCTGAAATATACTGAGGCACGGTACACAATTAATATGCGTAAACAGATATTAATGCTGATGGGAATTACATATAAAAACTATCAGTACGACACATACGTGAACACCTATGAATGAAAAAGACCTCTGTGATTTGTACCGTGTTAATACAGTAGATAGGGTGGTGGGTATCGAGATAAAGTAGCGCTTTTACCATAAAGTACCTTACAAATACATTAAAACAGTGTTCATATGTAAATGAGCTATGACACATTTATAAATAAAGATTGTTAAGCATATATCCACATGTGCAGCTCGGTACCATGAACACAATCTTGAGCAAAAACTGGATTTGACGGAGATGAAGGCCGGTGAATCCATGGAGGTTTGCGACACAGTGAATCAAATCAACATTAAAGAGATGAGTCCGACTCGAGAGATGAGACTAAAATGTAAACAAGAACAGAACATAAAGCAAGACACGCAAGTTGGGATTATTGCACTTAAAAAGTCCGTAAAATTATCACCAAGAAGCTTGATAGTCAATGATAGTCATCACAAATAAAGCAGAGAATGAAAAGTCAGTAACAGCAATGTACGTTTGTTCGTTTAATAGAAAAAAAAAAAAAGAATGTATGACTCAGTAAACTGGAGAGAAACCAGACTCCCAGATACTAACTTCTTACAGTAACTCTCTCCCGCTCTTTCTAAGAACTCCCATGAATCACTGAGCAGAGTTCGTCCACATCTGTAGACAGAGGAGGCTCGCAAGCATAGCTGCCGTGGTCTCCGCCAAATGTGTTTCGCAACATCGGTGGCAAGTTTGAGACTTGTGCTCGAGTGTAAACACGGCAACTACAGCTCCGCCTCATCCACCGTTTGGCCGCATATTCGGCAACCCGCGCACAACTACTACCGCGACCATCTGGTGAACATGAATTTGGCTGCGTTTGCACGTTAAAAGCTGCCGGTGGCAGCTGTGTGTGCAACAGACTTCTGTGGGTTCACAAGTGCAAACTGTAGCGCTAAACCTAATTCTTGTCAAAATGTGGGGTTCTAAATTTGATCTCATCCTGTTTAAGTACCAAACAAAGAGGGCGAAGCACCTGCGTGTACTAAAATATCCAACGCATTGAAAAGAAAAGTATATCAAAACTACATCCCTAGCACCTAAAGCAAAGACATGAATGATTCATTTGGCTTTGATCAGTCCCGTTCCTTCCCACTGATTTCACCACATGATATCGATGCATGAGCTACAGCTAAACCTTCATTCGTTTTTCCTTCTCTCTACTTTTTGCTAAGTTTACCCGCCTTCTTTTTGGGCTCGTAGGGTGTCCGTAGAATGCTCGGCGTCTCCTCCATGACGCGCACCAGCAGGTTGTCGATGTAGTCCTCCAGCTCCCTGATATGGGCGTCCTTCTTCTTCACCACTTCTTTCTGCTTGATGAGTTCCTGCACCACTTCTTCGAAGGACAGATTGCTGTAGGCGAGAACGCTTTCCTTCTTCGCCTCCTGAAAGTGGGGAAACAAGGAAAATGCTCAATTCAACCCCCCAGCAGATCTCACATGCTCCATAATCGTCACATGCTGCGTAGATATTCTTTGTAAAAGTGGACTGAAATGGTCGAATGTGACATGTCAGCATCTGATAACAGAGTTCTCTCACAGTGCAGCGGAGAAAAGGGACTAATTAGAAGTGTTGGCCTCACGCGACATTAACTGTCAGCTGTTTATCTCGTTCCCTGTTGCTAATAAAGGCTAATTGAGAGTTTTTAAGACGAGACTGCTGTTGAGGGATTCGGCACAGACGTGTCAATGATTTCCATGGCAGATGTTATGATCTAATACTGTTTAGAAAGAGACTGAAGAGCAGTTTAACTGCTCAAATGGGACTTAGGCTTGACACCCCGGCAAGCAGCTAACATCTTGAGAAGGTTGTTCTCCTTTTACTTTAGTTTCAAGCAAATAAAAGCATGAAAGTATGAACAATAAAGACCTTTGTTCTGAAGGTGGTGGAAATGCCAGGCTGCATATTTCTGCAATTAAAAAGGTCAGGCTAATAAATACCAAAACAAGGATGCAACCCAAGCCCAGCGTGGCTCTTCGAGGACAGCCTCTTTGGACGGAGCGGCGCGGTACGGTATGTGCGGATCATATTGCGCGGCTACGAGAGGAGCTGTAATCGTTTTTAATGAGGGACCACTTTATCGCTTCGGTGCTGGGCATCCTCCCCCGAACGGATAGAGCAGCAAAGCCTTCGCCCTGTTTAAAATACCACACTTATCAGCTTCCACTCCCGTGCACCATTCAAGCCTCGAACTGCCGGGTAAAGACAATGCAGAGGGAGAGGGAGAGCTGGGGCGGGGGCGGGGGGGCTGCTTACCGGGTATCTTATCGCTTCTAACCGCGTAGAGGCTAGCGCGGGGCGACACCAACCAAAATGAAATATCTGCCACTGAGATTAAATGTCCAATGCGCGACGGGTATGGAGAACAGAGCGAGGTAACCTGTTCCTCACGCACAACACACACACGATAAAAAAAGGCATCTCTCCGAGAAATACTGCACTTAAGCCATCTGAGAGTGACGGACATATGGACGTTGGTGTCACATACAAAGCGTGTGTACGTGCACACGCTCTCTCTCTCTCTCTCTCTCTCCCTCTCATACACGCGCACAGCATAACAATCAGGAGCTTTAGTGGCTGGTGACAAAGGCCTGGAAATGACCATGAATTGGCAAAGTAATGATGACCGTTCTTCTGCGATCAGTAGTGAGGGGAAGATAAGGCGCACACTTGGCATTCTCCAGTTGTGTCATTACAGTTTCTAATGAGCTCAGCTTTGAGAATCTAAAAGCTCAGTCCTTTGAAATCTCTCACTGCCCCCTCCCCCCCTCGCCCCCCCTCCCCGTGTGTGGTTAATTAGGGCCTTGAAGCTCAGGAAATGGGAGCTGCCATTTCTGCAAAGCACTGCGGCGTGCACGGGGGGGGGGGGGCACATGTGTGGATACCGACAGCCCTCAACACCCACAAAGAAAGGTGAGGAAAGCTATTATCAGCATTCTCTTTCTCATTTAGGCATCACTTCAGCTACAGCTCCCTCATAAATACCAATTTTGCTGCGTAATAGTGTGCAGATTTGACACGTTTGTATTTCCAATTGGGAATGCTAATTTTTTTTTTAACAAAATAAAAAAAATATAAAAAAGGTGAAAAATAAAGTCCTTTAAAAAGGAAAAAACAGAAATGACATTTCTTTGTCTTTTCTCAACAAAAACCTCCAATTACAGAACAAGTGCAACACACCACTATGACTGACCTCAGTGACCAAAATTTCACACCACTTCAAAATTATGATCGGCTCAGACGCGATGACCGACGGGTGCAGCTGCTAATTAGCTGAACGGCAAATCTGAATTTTCAGAGGCCTCAGAGATCAACGTCACCAGCTGCTATGTCAAATAAAAAAAATTGTTAAGAGTTCACAATTAAAAATCTAGAATCTGCACGACGCGACACAGGAAGTGAAGACACAGCTGCAACCGCTGGGGTCATTTCCTCTCTTTTAAATCTTCCGTCAGGTAAAACTAATCAACAAATCAATCGCGTGTACGAGCAGCGTTGTGCTGTGCGTCTTACCGGTTTCTTGCCATAGATGTCCTTCTTCTTCTTGTGGCCAAACGTGATGTCTTCATATCCTTTTGACTTTTTATCACTGCGAAGCAATCAAAAGGGAAGTCAGTATTCACGTGAAGGCTTTACAGTGAATATTTATTGCCACTCGACTAACAAAAAGGCTCTCAGGTGTTCCATCCCTGTGCTGATAAAGCACATTTGGATATTTAGGGTGACTCACGTAACTTATTAAGAAATAAAACATGCGTTGTGGCATGTTTTTGTGAGTAAGTTCATCAATAAATTATGTATTTTAACCGCTTTTTTGTGTGATAAATGACCACTGAGCTACAGTGCGGCAAAGGAAGCAGTAAAGATGATGGACTGGTGCCCACAGAGATAAGTGGTTAATTGGGTGGTCTATCTCTGCAGAGGATCTCATTACTATAGCTCAGAGGGCTTCGTTATCGAGGCCGGGCTCTCTAAAGAGCCACTAATGACACCTTCCACTCCGATAAACCAGAACTCAGCCACGGCTCTCACCAACTCCTGATGGAACACAGGGAAGAGACGCAAGCAGTTCGGTGGAAATGTCTGAACAACAACGCTCGACAACAGAACGAGAGATGGTAGATTTCCATCAACGAGGTATTCGAAACTTCATGAGAATGCTGTAACCAATATCCTGTGGTGCTTGTCTCATGGGGTAGCAAGGTCACGTGTTGGGGCCGATTTATGATCAAGAGTGAGACGAACCTCTGCTGCACACGTGCTGAATGCAGACTCTAGCCTCGCGCATGGAGGCTAAATAATAAGGCATGGAAGGACTCGTATAAGAACAAATATTATATTTATATTCAAAGACTTTCAGCGGTTTGTTTCATAAAAGCGCATTGATGAGAGATGTACAAATCAAACAACAAGAGCATATATTGTATATGTATGTTTGCCAGACAGAGGGACATTTACAGAAGTAGTTCCCTCAGGGGGAAGTATTCTGGATTTATAAATAAGGCGCTCTAAGCCCGAGAGGGAAAAATGAGCAATCGGACGCGAGGCCATTTTCGTAGCGTCTCCTGGATTATATTTAATCTCAAAGAACTGACATAGTGATGGGTTGGATGTGTTGAGGTCGACTGCTAACTGACTCATTTAGGGTTAGGGTCATAATATTGACAGACAAAAGAGATTCAACTCTGCCATGTTTAAAAACTGGTTTAAAGGGAACAGAATATATTCTTTCTAATTATTTTTTTTTTAATATTTAACCTTTTTTTGAATGATGCTTGCTCGCTAAATTATTTTCTGAAAAGGTGTAATATTACATCTTTTGTATCCACTTCGGGACGATCGTATTTTGTAAAAACAGCGTTTTGTATAGTCAGTGATTAATTAATGGACTGTCTATAATGGAACCAGAAACAACCTAAAAAACCCCCACGCTCATGAAAACAAGTGGGAAATGTTGCGTGAGATGAATACACGGTGTACTGGAGGACAGAAACAAGAAGCTACCTGGCTTTGTAGCTGGAGATGAACGGGTTGGTGTCTGCCTGCGAGTCTCCGCTGAAGGGGTTGGGGGAGCGCAGGTCTCCAGAGCTGCCCGAGCGGCCCGCGTTGTTGGTCTTGCGACCCTCCTTCTTTCCCGTCACGCGTTCCAGTAGGCTGACCTTCTCCTTTTTCTCCTTCCGCTCCGCCCGGTCCCACGGCTGCCCGTGCTCCCCCTCGAACGGGTTGCGGTTGCGTGGGAGCGTGGCATACTTCTGTGGCAGGGTGTCACTGATACCAGTGAAAGGGTCACTGTGCGCCTCTCCGTCCTCGTAGCCTGGCACCACGCTCTGGGAACGCCGGTGAGGGCCGCCTGACAAAACCAAACGCAGCACGTCAACGTATTAATATCCACCCGTCACTAATCACATTTTAAAAATGTTTTGTGATTATCCCGTGACAGAATTTGGGATGATGCAATCTGACTTTTTAATGGCCAACACCACCGATTTGATTTCATTAGAACGGGTAAATTGCAAACTGATCAATGTTTGTTTTCTGTTGATGAACCCTTTTTTAAATTGATGTTACAGTTTTACACAGATAAAAGGAACTTCATTCTCAATTAACATTTGCGTTGTTTTAGTTAATTTCCAAGTTGATCTTGTGGCTCTTCCAACTAAAACCACACCACAAAAGGAACATTTATTTGGGAGCAGTACGGACATTTTGTTGTATTATTTCTACCCTCCAAATCTGCTATTGTGTCCCTCCCACCCTCAGAGCTCTGGATAAGTTCCTCTCCTCTGCATGCCAATCTGAATAATAACAACGATGACTGATAAAGTCAAAATTTAACTGCCTCAGATAGCAGAGATCGGACAGTCATGGCGGAGCGGCCAGTGAGTTGAGGAATGCTTATTTATTGACTTCTCTGGTTATTTCTACATTTATTAAATAGCAGACTATTCTGATAGTTGCCTGGTTGCTTGAAGCTTCCACTGGCAAAAGTATGAATTTTACTGCTTCAGCACAAAATGACCATAATGTATCACATTCATTAGGAAATAACCTTCACCAATTAACCAGATTCTTAGCGATGATTAAAGACATTGCAGTCCGGCCCAGTCTCGTCTATCCTTAAGCTTTTTTTGGTTGCTACACAACACAGACAGCATAAGTGAGCACCCAACGGCAATTCAGCACAGACATCATTATCATAATGCAACAATTGTGTTGGAGCTCTGTATTATTGTTTTGAAAATCGTGACTATTGTTTGCATTGATTACAGCTACAGCAAGTCAAGGACAGAGGGGGGCCACTCTTACACTGGTTAGCATCAGAGATCAATAAACGACACACACACACACACACGATCTAAACAGTGTAACTATCTACTTTACTTCAGGTTGAAATACCTTTTACTGTGACTATCTTTATATCCTATAGCTCTGGGACTTCTATCGACCTCTACTGATGGCCACGCGACACTGCAACGGCGTCCCATGTTAAGAGCACGACAGTCCCATAAGAAAACAAACGATACTTAATGAAGACCAGTTAGACAACTAAACCTTTGTGTTAGGAGACACCATACCACGATGAAAAATAGTGTCGTTACAATGCTGCTCAGTCATTTTATTGCTTCAGAATGAGGCCTTTTATCCTTAAATATGTAGCTGAGACACCCGTCTGTTTCCTGTACCACTGTCCTTCATCCTTAAAAAAAAAAAAAGAGGATATGAGAAGGTAGCAAGGACTCACTGATCACTAAGGACTTGACTATCAGGTCCATGCAGACATGTGCCAAGCAGCAATACAAGCTTACCTATTACCCCTTAAATTATTCATTAAAAATAATGAAACAAACATCTGCAACAAATCTGAAAGACAGCAGCTTTTGGTCCTCACCGCTCTCTTCTATGGAGTTCATGGAATCCAGTTTGGGCCTAAAGTGGGTCCCGATGAGATCCGACATGGAATGGGCCGCAGAGAGTTTGTGGGCCCCGGCGAGCAGCGGCCTCTTGGCCTTGGCTTCAGGCTGGGGTTGCGGTTCGGGTGCAGAGGACTGCTGGTTGGGCTCCGAGTCGCACATGGCGGAGCGCGGCAGGATGGCGGAAGACGCGTCGCTGAAGCCGCCGCCGTTGTGTTTGCGACCCTTCATTTTGTCCTTGAGCTTGGAAAAGGGCGAGCGGGGCTTCTCCTTCATGGAGAGGTCGAACATGCTGGCCGTCATGTTGTTCCTCATGAACTGGATGCTCACTTGAATGCGGCCTCGGTCTTTCCTCTTCTTCCCCGGCTTGGACTCCAAGGAGTACCAGCTGCAATGAGAGCGGAGGACACTTATGGCAGAGCAAAAATTCAACGAGACAATTTATATAAAAGAGCAGCAGGATTTCATGAAACATCTTGTTGATTACACGTAATTCAGGAAGACAGGTTTACAAAGTCAGAGTGGGGTAAAAGTCTTTACACTATCAAACTAAATGACAAAAGGGAAAAGAAAACAGCCCACATTCTTTCTAATGTGCTCTACCTACCTCTTTGTGGACATCACTGAAAAGGCTAATTTGAGCAGACTAATCCAAAAGCTACACACAAACGCAGGGGGCTTAAATCGTTTCAACTTTTTTTTTTTTTTTTGACACAAGTGAGAGTACAATTTATCATTCAGAGGATAAACATTATTCTTTGAAAACGGAACACAAGGAATAGCCTGCTGCTGAATAATATAGACCATTTCAGGCCGCTCTTGGGCTCCTATTTGTTTAACCTCTCTGCTTCTTCAACTGGAAGTAATGGGATTTATGCGTTCACTCCGCGCGAAATAAAAGTGGCATTTGCACAAATCTGGCCTTTGTTCAGAAATGCAACGACCGGCAATTGGGAAATTGCAAAGCCACGTCGCAGGACAGCCCAACAGTTCATACATGCTAATGAGACATATCCTCTGTGTTACAGGGCCGCTGACAATGTCCTTTAAGAAGCCAGCGTCGGGATGAAACGACGGCCAGTCAATGTATTCTGTCTGCGTTTGAAACATCAATCTAAACTATGGTCACATCAATAGAGTTTTGCACTCGCCCACCTCCATCATGGTGCAGTTTGATCAATATAATTCATTGTTCTAACCCGTTAAACTGAACTGACTTAAATGGCACATTTTGCTCAAATTCATTTTTCTTTGTTTTCATGCAATTGCTGATATTTCTTCCTGGATTCATGTGGATATTTGTAGTATCCCTGGAATTCCAGCATAAAATATCCGTCATCAGTTGGTATTGTTTTTTTTGTTTGTTTTTTTAAAACACAGCTGTTGGGCGCTATTCTAAACCGTCTAGCTCGTGGCCCAGGAGCCCTGTCATGAAAGGCCTTGCCGGGTCCGATTCCCAGGCTGCTTGCCGCGCTCAGTCTGATCAGCAGCCACAGCATGCCGCTGCCGTGGCGCCGCACCTCACGTGTGTCTCAAGGCCAAGATAAACCTCCCCTGTGCTCGGAGCCACAATCCTCCCACTCGGGCCGGGACTGCTGGGAAACTCCTCACAATCAACAAACACAGGTGTGCGATAATTATGGGCTGCCTACTCGGATATCAGGACGGGCTTTCCTCCCCAGTATGTCGGTTCAAAAACATTGCGGACGCACACGGACCCGCTGTGGAGCGTGGATACGGCATCGAGGGCCCCTGGACGTTCATTGTCGAGTGCGCCTGCAGTGTGGGATTAGGCCGACAAGCAACGGGAGCGTATCCATTACTGAGCCTCGGCTGAAAAAGTGCACGGCCTCGAGGTGCATCGGCTCAGGCTCCTAAAACAAATAAGACCCATCCACACTGATTAGAACATATTGTGATTCTCCCAACTGATGGGAAAAGAGGAAGTGTGCTAATGTCTTTCCATGTTGAAATGTGCAGTGAGCTAATTAACACCAGATCGGTAATTCTGTTCTTGTTTGCTTAATGCGGGGTTAATAAACGTGTGTGTGCTGAACTTGTAGGGGTCAACGCCCCCAAGTTCAGCCTAATATGATGTGGCCTTTTCAACCTATGGTGGTATGTGAGAGTAGCTGACTCCACCTTTGTGCATTATCTGCTCCAGCCTTTCATACAGTCATTTCACAAGGGGACAACCCCAAGCACGCACTAGGCATAGGGAAGAGGAAACGCCAGGACGAGTCAGCTGTTAAGAAAAGGGCTGACTCACTTTGAAATCAATATCAGCCCTTTAGAGACTCCCCACTTCACCTGCCTGCCATATACCCCCCCAGGCAAAAATGAAAACACCAGGAGAATAAGTAAACTCTACACAGTACAGGCCAAGATTCAAACCCAGGTCAATTTGGCAGTGTGAGAAAAAGGCAACTCTCACATTCTCACACACCTTTAAAAACAATTCTAGGAGTGCCTTACAAGACATGTTTAGCCAGCTCTGCTAGTATCAATTAGGCCAACTGTTGCTCGCCATGTCAGTGATTAAGCTAAAAGTAATCTTTTAACAATGGAGGCCAATTCATGGCTGCGCCTCAAGTAGAGAGTCAACAATATCGAAAGGTTCAACCACTCTGTAGAAACTGAGCACAAATGTAAGAACTCATCTGTGGTAGTTGTGTTGGACAGTTTAAAACTGAAGAACTGTGAGAGCAGTTCACCTACAAGAAAAAAAAGAAAAGCTGCTCTTTGAATTAAAACACTTTTGTGTAATAAAATGAAGTCATAAAACAAGTGTATAAAGAGAATGACAGGACAATGCAATTGAATTTAAATCATGTGGTGTGTAGGAGTTAGGTCACAGAGTTAATTGCGAACAGAGCACAAAATATAACACACAACAAAAAAACAATACATTGGTGTTATTATGTGTAACCTAATATGGCAAAAACTTGTGTAGAAACAAAAAACTATTTTAGTTCATGCTGTAATCCACTTATGACTGGAATAGTTGTGCAAATATTTTCCACTTCCTCACAAAAGTCCAGTCGTCAAGCAGCAGCATGACTGAGCTGGAGTTGCAAAGTACGTGAATGCTATAATAGTACTGCATACAAACGAGCTCAGACACTGAACATGTGCTGTTGAAGACGTCTGAAATGTACCACACACACAACACACTCATCTGTGACCGTATGGAGAACAGATGGATGATTAATAGTATCAATATCAGCCCTTTAGAGACTCTTGAATTAGATTTTTCATTTTAACTTCATGTTGGCTTAAAATGAACACAAAGGACATTTTTTGAGGATTTAGCATTTTGTATGGGCGGTTCTGCACATTCTGCTCGAAACCTCCGGGCAGAAGAGTGAAACAGTAACAGATGTAAATATAAAATGAATGGCTTGCTGTGAAACAGCGTGCCTTGGGGTGAGAACTTGGGACTTTACAGCTTTTTATATATATATATATATATATATATATATATATATATATATATATAT